GTATATATGTATATATGTATATATGTACGTGTGTATATATATATATACATATATATATACACACATATATGTATATATAGCAGTCAAGTAATTTCACATTTGCAAAATTTATAAACCTTCATTGTACATTGATGTTTCGTATAAGTTTAAATGAAACTTTTTGGACTTTGAGGGAATGCAGAATACTCCTTTAAAGATTGTCATATTATAATAGTTAACACTGCAAAGCACTAGCATTTTCCTATTTAATCCTTATAATCACCACATAGAATAAGCGGTATAATTGCCCCAATTTTCTAGATGAGGAAATGTAGAGAAGTAGACATAGGTTCAACGTCACATAATGAAGCTGCTTTGGAGGTAGGCTTCCAACCCAGGCAACCTGACTCTAGAGTTTTTTTCTCTTTAACCTAGAGCCACCATGTGTAGTTGTGCAGGGTGTCCACTGCACAAGGGTGCCTGGGTAAGGGACTCAGTGGCAGCTGAAATGCAGCAAGTTCTTTGCTTGCTATCTGGGTTCCCTCATGTTCACTTTTCCAAAAACCCATTGCCATCGAGTGGATTTCGACTCATAGCAACCCAATAGGACAGAGTAGAATTGCCCCATAGGTTTCCAAGGAGCAGCTGATGGATTTGAACTGCTGACCTTTTGGTTAGCAGTGGAGCTCTTAACTTAACCACTGTGCCACCAGGGGTCTGTGTGCACTTTAGCCACCTGAATTTTTTGAATTAGCATAAAGGCATTGAAGGGCTAGCAGAGGCTTTGTCTTAAGCACTGTGCTGTACTGTTCTTCTCTCACTACTAATGGTCTGTTTTTGAACTTTGGACCTTATTAAACCCGTTATCATTGGATGAAACTCTCCTCAGCTGTACTCCCTTTCCCTAGGGACGTGGACCCCCTGCTCCCCAGCATTTTGAGTAGGAAGCAATATGTTGTGTGGTAGAAGGTAATTGGCTTAGATCAGTTAGTCTGTGTTCTCTTCCCAGTGCTGTCCTTATGAGACCATAACCTTAAGTCAGTTGTGCCTCAGTTTATCACAAAATGGGGACAAATATAGATATTCTGTCTATATCACAGAACAATTTTGTGTATATAGTAGATGAATCATTAGCTATACCTTGATGGTCTACTTTGTATAAGACACTGTGCTGTATAGGCAGTTAGAGAGAATTTTGGTAAGTACTGATGAAGCTGTATTTCTTGTACCCTAGGAACTTACATACACAATTTGGAACACAAAGCAAAAGTTCATGAAAATTTAGATAATAGTGTGAGATAATAATACAGGGGGCATCACCTGATAGGTTAGATTTACTGCCAGCTAAGGGAGATAGATCCTCAAAGGTATGCATCTTTCTGGAGCCTTATGTTAATGCCCGTCTCTGGAAAGGATAGTTCTATGACTGTTACATATACACCCGTTAAGTTTAGTGATGGAACTTTTGATCCTCAGAGGAGCTATTGGGCCTGAGTAAGGTTCACACGAGGGCTCAGTAGGCCTGGCCTGCATCTCACTGGAAAAGAATAACATAGTCAGAGAGGAGAAAATGCACAGGCTCTGGAGTCTGGGGAGCTTCTGGTTGAGTTAGAACTTGAAGTAGGTGTTAAAAGAAAGGTGGAAAGTGCCTCTGTTAGATTTGACAGCGCTCTGAAAAAGTGTGAAGTCTCGGATAGAATATACTACCCCAAACAAAACCCACTGCTGTCAAGTCGACTCCAACTCATAGCGACCCTGTAGGACAGAGTAGAACTGCCCCATAGGGTTTCAAAGGCTGTAAATCTTTATGGAAGCAGACTGCCACATCTTTTTCCTGCAGAGTAGCTGGTGGGTTCGAACCACAGACCTTTTGGTTAGCAGCTGAGCGCTTTAACCACTGTACCACTGGGGCTTTGGTAGAATATACTATGTTCTTTAAAAATTATCTGTTGAAAAGATAATGCAACAAGCATAATAAAATATTCATGGGGGACAACCATAATCTTGCCACCCCAAAACACCAATTACTTTCCTTCCTGCATGTTATCTTCCAGTGCTTATCCACAGGCATGTCGTTTTACAAAGTTGATTATATTGTTTTTAAAATTGAAGTGCCTCAGGAATGAATACTTTTTATCTTATTGAATTTGTTGGAAAAATCTGAGAAGTAATTTAACGTTTTCCTATTTGTATATGTATCTAATTATACAGTACATGGTGTGTTGTTGTTGTCAGGTGTCCTCAAGTCATTTGCAACTCGTAGCAACCCTGTGTATACCAGAGAGAAGGTGCGGTAGATTCAAACAAAAGGGAAATAGGTAAAGTTAAAAATGAAAACTCATCTACTTCCCCTTCCAACCCAACCCGGCTGTAGGCTCTCTTATTTGAATTTATTGACATATCATGTGTTACTTTTAAATTAAGTATATAGGGGTGTTGTATATGTACACCCAGGAGTCCTTGGGTAGTCCAAATGGTTAATATGCTTGGCTATTAACTGAAAGGTTGAAGGTTTGAGTCTACTTGCAAGCATCTTGGAAGAAAGGCCTGGTGATCTACTTCTGAAAGATCAGCCATTGGAAACCCTGTTGGACACAGTTCACTCTGACACACATGGGGTTGTCATGAGTCAGAATTGTCTTAACAGCAACTGTTGTTTTTTTTTTTTTGTATATGCACAAACATATAACACGAATAGTTCATAATGCCTACTGTGTGCCCTTACATTTGATAAGCCACTTAATTCCTACAATGAGCCTATTAGGTAGGTACTTTTATCATCCCTGATTTTACAAATAGGCCTGGTGATCGGCTTCCAAAAGGTCACAGCCTTGAAAACCCCATGGAGCAGTTCTGCTCTGTAAACATGAGAGGCCACTGTGAATTGGAATCAACTTGATGGCAACTAACAATTTCATAAATGAGGAAGATGAGACACAGAATTGTGCATATATATACATGTATATGTATATAAACACAAAACCAAAACCTGTTGCAGTCAAGTTCATTCTGATTTATAGCAACCCTATAGGACAGAGTAGAACTGCCACATAGGATTTCCACAGAGTGACTGGTGGATTTGAACTGCCGACATTTTGGTTAGCAGCCAAGCTCTTAACCATTGCGCCACCAAGGCTCCACTATATATATTTTTAAATAGAAATGGGGTCATACTGTGCATATATTTTGACTTTTAACTAAAGTACAGTACAAATCGCCTGTATACCCAGCACACAGATCAAGAAGTACAACATTACCACTGGGCGAGGAACCCCTGCATGCCCCGTCCTCGTCACACATACACCTTCCATAAGTATCCACTATCCTTACTTCTAACAACATAGATTAGTTTGCCTGCTTTTAGACTTTATATAAATAGACTTGTTCGGTACATATTCTTTTATAAAGGGCTTCTTTTGCTTAATGTTATGTTTGTGAGATTCATTCATGTTGTACATAGCAGGTAGCTCATTCGAACTCATTGCTGTGTAGTATCCCTCTACATGATACTAAAATAACCAAACCCGTTGCTGTTGAGTTGATTGCAACTCATAGTGACCCTGTAGGACAGAGTAGAACTGCCCCACAGGGTTTCCAAGGGGTGACTGGTGGATTCGAACTACCAAACTTTTGGTCAGCAGCCGTCTATATACCACGATTAATCCATTCTTCTAATGATGGACATTTGGATTGTTTCCAGTTTTAGGCTGTTATGAATAGTACTGCTGACAATGCATATTGTTTTGTACTTTTTTTTCACTCAAATGTTCATGGACATCCTTCCCTGTCAGTACATAGAGATCTACCCTATTCTTTTTTAGAAATTGTCTCATAATAGACTTTCAGATGCATATATCATAATTCATTTAGTCATCTTCAAGTTTAAGTTACCTTTAATTTGCACTATTGCTTATCTTTATGCACTTCAAAAATATTTCCATAAAATTGGGAATTAAAAGTGGAATTTATGTGTTAAAGCTTATGTACATTTTAAATTGTAATAGATTAAAAATTTCCTTTCCAAATACAATATTGTATCAAATTACATACTGCATTATATCAACTATTCACTCTTATTAACAAACACTCCTTTTTTGCAAACTCTCTACTATTTTTCATTTAAGAAATGTAGCCAATCTCACAAACAGTGATGTTTGCTGGTTTTTTATTTGAATTTTCCTAATTACCAGATCTTGAGCATCTTTTGATTGTTTGTTATACTTGCCATTTATAGTCTTTGAATTGACCATTTCATTGCTGTACAATTTTTAATCTTTTTGTTGACATGTAGCAATTATTTTGGCCAGTAATCAAAGTATTTGGACTATTACAGCTATTAACGTTTTCCTATTACAGATGTTGCAGAAAACCTCTCCAGGTTTGTTGGGTTTTTTTCATGTGTTTATGATGTCTTTAATTATACAGAAGTTTCTAATTTTTATGTAGTCAGATTGGTTTGTCTTTTCCTTTATGGCCTCAGAGTTTCATGCCATGCTTAAGAACACATTCATCTCTCCAAGACTTTACCAATAGCCTCATATTTTCATCTAGAACTTTGCTAGTTTTGTTTTTATATTTAGTTCTTTAATCTATCTGGAATTTGTTTTTGTGTTTGCTGAGAGGTAGAACTTTTATTTTTTCCTAAGTATATACATTTAGCCCAACACCATTATTGTGAGAAAGCTCCTTTCGTGATTTTTTTCTTCATAGTGCTATCACTCAACACAGATTTCTGAATACATGGAAAAACTAAGGCGAGAAGAAAATAATGTAAGAGAAAGGCAAGCACCACTAGAACCACTAATGGGAACAATTAACTTAGTGAAAACCCATTAGAAATAGTTGACACACTTTCTAGGAGTCAGTGCCCACCACAAATAAGAAATGAATGCAAAGTAGAACCAAATGCTTTGGTATGTACACATTAGTCTTGTTTTCTTATGCAAAGCCATAATCACAGGATTGTAACTGAGATAGCAGTCTTTCGGACTCAGTTGCCTGGGGTAGATTTCTTTTGTAGCCGTTTTGAACATTGCCAATCAAGTTGAAAGAATGAAGAAATTGTTTTGCCAATTGGGAAAAAGCATCTCAGAATTTTTTCCTTCATTGAGAGAAATATTGGTTGATATACTTTATACTTCACTATTATCATCTGGATAGGTAAAAATAGTTCAGGTTTTGTTTTAAAAATAGAAATACTAAGTTTTTGGTGTAAGGATACCATGTAATGCACAGGAAAATAATGTGATTGGCTTTTAAGATATCAGGAAACGAATTGTGAAGTTTTCTTCTCAGGCACAGTAGACTACACAGTGGATAAACACGTGGATGGGGCAAGGGGAAGGTATGATTCAGATTAGGAACCACCATCATGAGCGCTTTCAGCTTAATTACGATCAGTTGTTATTTATTGAGCCCAATTCTTGGAATTTGATGAATCCTAGGAGTAATACAGATTTGGAAACTGTCTAAAGCCTGCAGTTTATCAAAGCATTATAAAATGTATTCCACAGAATCTCTCGATGAAGTCTGAATGTTTATAAGAATCTGGGCACTGGGGTTGGACAGTCATGGATTCTAGTCTCAGTGCTTCCATTTTACTTGATGTGTCACCTTGAGCTGGTTAACCTCTCTGAGCCTCAGTTTTCTCAAATGTGAAATGGGGACTTCTGTAGTCACTGTGAGGATCAAAATACGTAATCCATGTAGAGTGCATGGCCTGATGTCTGGCACATAAGGAAAACTCAGTTTCTCTTACTAGTCAGTATATTTCCTTTGAATAATTAATTTAGCACAGACTAAGTGATGCTTTAAAATATCTAAGAGGGTTAAATCAATTTTGAAAGATGTCAGACTTACAGGATGTAACCAATTTACCATAGTCGTTTTGCTTCAGACGTGTCTATGGGGCAATTAAAGTGATTTCTCAGATTTTTAAACGGAGCCCATGTCAAAAATGAACTGAGTCAGTTGGCTTTTATAATAAAGTATTTTTGAGAAAGGATCACAGAAGAAATTACAGTTTAAAATGCTATAGTGAAATAATCTGGAATAAGTGATCATTCTGTCCAATTATTTTGTCAATAGGTGAAAATTTGGTTTCAGAACAGAAGGATGAAATGGCGAAATTCCAAAGAAAAGGAGGTGCTTTCCAACAGGTGTATCCAAGAAGTAGGCCTTCAAGAAGATCCCCTCTCAAGATCTGCTCTGGGTTTCTCTTCTCCATGTCCTTCAATATGGGAAGTCTCCCAACAACACTCAAGTCCAAGATGGAGGGAGAATTCACCAGAATCTTCAGAAAGACTGATTCAGGAGAGTTCTGGGGTACCACTCCTGGAAGCAAATTCACGGCAAGGTGCCTTGTATTTGTGTTCTGAAGAAGAAGCTGGAGATAAGGGTGTACTTAATGCAGCCATCTGAATGGAAGCAGTCCTCCATGTTAATTTAAAAGAACACTTAACTAATAATGTTTGGACTCTAAAGCCAGCTAGTTTGTGCCTCATCAACACCTAAAACCTAACACCTTTGGAATGATGCATGAACTAATGCTTTAGGAAACTTGCTCCAGTGTTCTCTCATTTGTCCCTAGACTCAGGCTTAGTTCCTAGGTGGAATAGAATCTCCGAGGAAGTATGATGGAACTGAAAGGAATGAGAGCAGTTGTTGGCTCAGTCCCTGCTCTGAGTATGTGTATATATGTGTGTATCTCTATGTGTATATATATAAATTTTCATTAAAATACAATAGTAGAAACTAGTTTTTCCTTCAATATTGCATTGAGGCAAATCCATTTCCTTTTATATGAAGAAAAATAAACCAATGACTCAATGTTATTTTTTGGAAAATAATGTAAAATTGGATTTTAGCCCAAAATTTCATACCACAACATGTTTAAAAAATTATTCTTTGATTTCTTTTGGTATCCAGCTGTAAATTAATTATAACAACTCTGCTCAGCAATCCTAACCAGGTGAGCCACTTATTTACATACATCGAAAGTATAAAATCCAACTAGCAAATTAGAAGAATTTCCAAATATAATTATTAATACCTAATTTTCAAATCCTTGGACTTTATCAGACCATCAGTGAATGAGGTTCCTTCTTAACTAATGATTTATCTTTTGCATCTCTTATCTGAAGGGAGGCCAGAGTTTACAAAATACAGTGCCTTTAAGGACCTGTCAGGTAAACAGAGGGCATGGTTCACCTAAAAATATTTGAGTTTAGTAATTTTTAAAATATTGTGTTGGCCAAACAAAGCATCTGTGCCAAACAGTTTGTGACCTCCAGCCTAGACTAAAGAGAGCTGTGGTGTCACAGTTTTTAAAATATTCCCAACTAGACTTCAAAACACAATACTGATGGAATCTGTAGTGATTTTTGTTTGCACTTCTCATTATAGACCCATTTTTCCACTTAGGTGGCATACACTATATGTATTAGGTTCCTTTTATATATTAACAAACGCTACACAGATGTTTTATGCTTTCTGGCTATCTTGAAATAGTATTATTAGAAAATTACATTTCTGGTAACAATTTGCTTACTTAATCCAGAGATTTCTATTCCAGGTCCAAGAAGAAATTATATTTCACTTTGAAGGCTATGAAGCAGAAAAGGAAATGATGTGGTTTTAAATTAGGTTGTTATTAATCTATGGACAAGAAACATTCTTAGGAGTTCCTTATGTAGCATTTTATTAGTCAGAAAGCTTAGTAAGGATGGTGGCTTCTAATTTGCTTACCTTTTTAGCTATAGATTTTGAAAGTTGAGTGTTTACAAAAGGTAGTAGTTCAGAAGATAACGGTTGTAATCAACATCAGGAAGTTATTTTGTACGAGTGTTATTTGAACTAGTATATGTGTGGCCTGTGTCTGTATCACAAAATTTTTTTACTTAAAGGTCATCTGAGAGGGTTGTCTCAGTGCCTAATAGTGGGGAGTTTGGGGAGGGATTTCAAAGCCTGTCTTAAAATGATTTAAGATATGGTTTCTTTTCTTTATATATTATTAACCTCGTTTACATTTGTTAGATGCCTTCCACATTCTAGAGACTGTGCTAAGCCTTTAGGGTGGATTAACTCATTTAATCCTCATGGCAATAACCCTATGAGGTAGGCATTATTGCTATCATGATTCCTGTTAACCAGACAAGGGAACTAAGGCAGAGTATGGGTAGGGTGATTGACCAAGGGCATGAGGTTAATAAATGAGATTTGGACCCTGGCAGTCAAGTTTCAATTCTTCAAACCAGCTATGTGGGGGGCATACCATTGTGAAATTGTATTCTACCCAGCTGTGGGATGTGTTATAACAGATACATTTTGGGAATTGCAGTGAGATTTATTAAAGAAATTCAGAAGCACATTGTATTTTATAAGTCTCGTTTACTTGATAAATGGTTCTCTTCAGTATTCTCTACTAGATTTGATTTTGAAGTTCAGGGAAAGTAAGGAATAGCAAAAACCTTTAGCTGTAAAGCCTCTATAGAGAATAGTCCTATGAAGTGTGTGAAGTGGGAATGTATTCTTTTATCACACACTGCCAAAAAATAATAAAATACTTACCTATAGTCATTTTTTTCTTGAGAATAGCTTGAAAATCAAGCGAGAGAAACATATATCCATTGGATTACGCAGGTTTGAAGTAGGCTAATTGGGGCTGAAATTATCGTCCCCTAAGATTTCACCCTGGAGCTCCAAGACTTAGCAGAGACCATTCGTCTGTCAGGGTTCTCTCTGCAACATGGGAGTGAGGTTCAAATATACAAATCAATCTTTTAATGGGTTTCCTCTGGGGATGCATTAAGATTTAGGAAAAGTATACTTTGGGTGAATATATTAATGGTATAGGTAGATCCCGGATTACGAATGAATTCCATTTCTGTCTTTAAGTCGAATTTGTGCATAAGTCAGAACAGCTAGGTACGGTTCATATCTAACGTCAGAACGTCAGTCAGATGTTTGTCTTCGGGTATACTGTATAGTGTACCTTCCTGTGCATAAAAAAAATTCTCAAGAAAAACTTCCAGATACACTAAAACATCTTTAACATAATCATTCAGTAATAATAATAATAATAATGTTGCAAAGTAGCACCCATTTGTTACTAGGAACCATTGTATGTACCTCGACTTTTTTATGTAATAGGCTTTATGGGATTTGGTTGGTAACTACAGGTTGTACGTAAGTCAGATGTTCATAACCTGGGGACTGCCTGTACTTAGGAAGAACAAACACATCACATAGTGCACACACATGCCTATTGTGCCTTTACTTTGCTTCACTCACCTGACTTGATGGAGGGAACTGCTGAGCCCCATTATCCTAATAAAGCATCTCCCTTCTCTCTTAGCTTCTGCTCTGCTAACCACCCCTCCACCCTCAAAGTACTTACTTGTGTATTTTTCTCTCTTATCCAGATACAGACTTTTTTTTCCACATACATAGTATTAGTACATTTGTTGTCTGCTTTCCAGACTAATGATGATGTAATAAGCACCAAGATCATAGATGCCTGGAGGCAGAAGAAATTTTAATTTTTTATAATAAGTTGTCAAATGAATCTTAAGCTGTTGAGAAGAAACACATGCAAGCATCATCTTATAAGCATTTATAAGTGTAAATGTTTAGGGTTGGAAGTATGTAAGCAGTTTATAGATGATCATTGGACCTGGAGACAATGAAGGCCATGACCATCCATGTCCAATGGGTAGCTTTATTTTCTTAGTAATAAATAAGGTTTTATTGAGAAACCCAATTATTTAGTCCAACGTTTCTCAAACTTTAAAGCTCCATACATATGACCATGTCATACTTTCCAAGTTTTGGACCTATGACCATATTTGGTTATATACTCCATACATACTCCTTCAACATTCCACCCCTACTCTGAGGATCACTGATACATAGATTTTTTTTCACTTTTCAAATATAAAATCATAATTAAATATGCTTGCTGAAACTACATGTGTCCTTTTTGTCCCCATTTACACTCTTTCTGATGCATCCCTTTAAAAGTCAATACACTCCCCATCATACTCCACGACAGAATCCTTTGATGACCAGTGATTTCATGAGGCCCAGTTGACCTTTACATATAACAAAACATATGCCACAGTTTTGATAAGACTGTTAGACACCACATGTGTAGTCATCTGAAATCCACGATTTTTCCCCCTTTTTATATTTCAACATGTATTGAGCACTATGTGTGAGGTACTGTCTTTTAGGCTCTATGTAAAGAAATATGAGGGAGAGCATGGTCCTGGCCATCTTACCGCCTAGCAACTTTTGAAATATTCCATGCTACCTGTGACTGGATCCAATGAATTTGGGGGTAAAAAATAATCTGACATTCTCAAAAAACCCCACCTTTCCATTTGCAGCGAGAGGGTTATTGAATTACTCCACTATTCAGAAAAATACAATTTGCAGATTGTTGGCTTTCTAAGTTATCCCTCCTCCATTCAGGCCACAGTGGCCAAAAAGGAGTCAGAGAGAGTCCAAGGGAAAAATTCAATAGCTTTCTTTTGTTAGTAGTGTACCCTACTCTCTATGTTTTCTTTCTACTTGCTTAGCCTGAGACCAACCTATATCCATGGGAACGGTGGGCAGAGAAAAGGAAAAACAATGCAAGTGAGGGGAAGTCAGAATGGCCAGTATTCATGAATATCTAGGGAAGAAAAGCAGAATTAGTTTATATCTGTGACAAACCACTTCTGAAATAAGCAGCTACCCTAAAATCATAGTACTAACCCCACAAAGATGGTTCTTAGCTTCCAGTTCTTAGTCGTTTTTGTTAGGTGCAGGTGATTCCGACTCATAGCGACCCTATGCTCCACAGAAACACTGCCTGGTACTGCACCATGCTCTCAATTGTTGTTATGCTTGAGCCCATTGTTGTAGCCACTGTGTCAATCCATCTCGTTGAGGGTCTTCCTCTTTTTATTATTAATTAGATTCTATTATATTGTTATTTTGGGTTATAAAAGTCATACAGGCTCATTGTAAAGAAAAATACTTGAGAATATAGATAACAAAGTAACATTCATGTCAAGTTTTATCATCTGGAGATAGTCAACTTTTTTTGTGAAAAATTTCCAGTCAGTTTTGGATATATGTAAATATGTATGTGTGTTCAAACAAATTTGGATCATAGTGTATATCCGGTCTACCCTACTTTTTTTTTTACTCAAATTTATACAGAGAACATTTTCCCATGTCATTAAAAATTACTTGAAAATATTTATGATGGCTGTGTAATATTCCATTTAGCTCCTTTACTTCTTGAGGTGGACCAAAAGATAGGGGCTAGGAGATGGCAGGGCATGGAACTGATTGTGGACTCCTGTATCAAAAAAAGTGTACTGAAGAAAAAAAAATCTGTTGATTATTATTTCTTTTAATAACGTTGAAAG